TGCACGTGGAGTATTTCAAGCAGGAACATCCCAACTGAATGGAGCTGAACAGGGTCAAACCATTCCCCTGCAGCCAAACATGTTTTGTCTACTGATTCGATCAGTCAGTATCTCTTCCCTGTTGGCAGCCAGTGTAGCAATGATGCATCCTACAGGCGCCTTTGTGTGCCAGTGTAACTGGCCAGATCAGACTGCTGTCGTGGCATAGTACGGCAGTGTGACATGCATGCATGTGCCATTTTATGCCCCAGGACCAGGTGACACCCTTGGTTAGATCAGGTGTTTGCAATTGTTTGGGTTGGGGACCTCTCAACTTGCAAAAGGACAGAAAAGGCAATCAAATGAAAAACACGGGGTCCTCCTGAAGTACAAGATATGGTACGGTAGATAGGCTCCTCTTTACTATATCCCACTGAAACCCCCACAGTTCAGAGCGCGGACAGGGGAGAGACTACTGTAATTCAAATGGACCGTGACTGGCTGCATAATGGGAGCAGGCCTTGTTGAATTCGTTGGCCCTGCTTATAGTGTAGAGCCTCAGATCTTCTCAAATCTCCAGTAATTTCCATAGCCTGCAGCCTCCACCGCATCTCTCACACTGCAGCATTCCCCATCCATCATGCTACCGTTCCCCTAGAACCCCCTTATTTGACCTCCATTCCACGGTTCCTCTATTTTGTCTCTTTCCGTGGAACCGCATTATCAGCACCACTGCTGCAGGCCACTAATCTAATCCCACTGGGAGCAATCAATGGAGCGAGGCCGGGTTTCTGCCCTCTCTTTTCCCTCCTGAAGCCGTTGCCTCTCCTTCTCTCCAGCATTTCCCTCCTCTCTCCATCATTCCCTCCTCCCTCTCAAGCAGTCCTCCCCCTCTCTCTCTTTTCCCTCCCTTCTCCCTCATGCCTCGCCTCCACTTTCGATGGACTAAAAGGTCAGCAGCATTGGTGCACCCATCTTTGAGACGTCTCAGAAGGTGCACCGATCTAGTCCCACAGGGAGCATTATGAGGGAGAGAGTCGAATTCTCTGTCCTCCGGTCGTTTCCTCCTCCCACCACCCGCCACGTTTCCTCACCCATCTCTCCTCCTCTTTCCATAAGCTCTATCGCCAACAGGAGCAGAGGCGCACCGATCTAGTACCACTGGAGGCACCACAAGAGAGGGAGACGAATGCCCTGTCCTCTGCCATTTCTCTCCTCCCTCTACCCTTCCACTCCCCCCTCTCCTCCTCTTTCCCTCCTCCCTCCACCCTCCCTCCAGGTGGCCCCTCCTCCCTTCCCTCTCACGCCTCCTCCTCTCATGCCCCTCCTGTCTCCATCGGTTTGGTTCAGTCATGAGCAGCTGCTGCCGTTCCTTCTTCTCACTCCTCCCCTCCCCTTACGCCTCTCCTCTCTCCATGGGTTCTATTGCCAGCAGCTGCAGCGAGGTGCCAGTGGCATCTGCCCATGCCTCCATTCCCCTTTCCCCCTCTCACTCCAACACCCCTCCCGCCTCTACTCCAACACCCCTCACGGCTCTCCCCCTCTCTCCATGGGTTCTATTGTCAGCAGCTGCAGCGAGGTGCCAGTGGCATCTACCCAGCCATAGTGCGGCATGCCCCATGCCGCCATTGCCCTTTCGCCCTCTCACTCCAACCCCCTTCACGCCTCCCCTCCTCTCTCCATCGGTCCTATTGCCAGGAGCTGCAGCAATGTGCCAGTTGGCCCTGTTCAGCCATAGTGCGGCATGCCCCATGCTGCTGCTCCCCTTTCTCCCTCTCACTCCAACACCCCTCACGCCTCTACTCCAACCCCTCTCACGCCTTTCCTTCTCTCTCCATAGGCTCTATTGCCAGCAGCTGCAGAGAGTTCGAAGTGGCCTCTGCCCAGCCATAGCCCTCTCTGTCATTCCCTTCCCCTTTATGCCACTCAGAACTCTCCTCCTCTCCCTCTCACGCATCGCCTCCTCACGCCTCCCCTTCTCTCTCCATAGGCTCTATCGCCAGCAGCTGCAGAGAGTTCGCAGTGGCCTCTGCCCAGCCATAATGTGGCATGCCCCTGGGGGTTGAAACGTAGGGAGGTAAAAGGCAGAGGTGAAAAGAGGATGTGAAACAGAGAGGTGAATCGAAGGTCGGACACGAGGTGGAAAATGAGGTGAAACACAGAGGTAAAGGCACAGGTGGAAGGTAAAGGCGCAGGTGGGAGGTAAAGGCGCAGGTGGGAGGTAAAGGCACAAAACTCAGACTTCTATCACGTGGCTGTTTAAATAGGGGGATTTTAGTTGGATTTGACGGAGCAAACGGTTTTGACGGTTCCGTTTTGACGGTCCGGTTTTGAGGGATGCACTCACTCATAGTACGTCGGCTCTTCCACCACCACGTCCCACAGCTCGCCACTCGTGCTCTTCCCCCAAGAGTCAGAGACAGAATGCAAGTACACACATACTGCGAGCACATGTCACCACAAGGGAGTGCACTCACTCGTAGTACGTCGGCTCTTCCACCACCACATCCCACACCACACCTCGCCACTCGTGCTTGAGCACCAAAAGTCAACGAGTGAAATCAATCATGGTGCATCCCAATAGCATGCACTCACTCATAGTACGTCGGCTCTTCCACCACCACGTCCCACAGCTCGCCACTCGTGCTCCTTCCATACTTGTGCACCTTGCTGGTGTTGGGAAGTGAGAAAGAGGGGAGGAGAAGTGAGGTAGAGAGTCGACCTTGAAAATAGGCGAACATAGGCTTTGGAAGGACCGAAGATCGAACTTGAAAAGAGCTGATAAGCCTCGTAACGAAACGCAGTGTAGAACTACAATGGAAACATAGCTTGCCTGTAAGTGAAAGAGCCTTCCCCTCAAACTCTTATTGTACTTTCACAAAGTGTTACCAGCCATAAGCAAACACTTACGCCGTTCACAAAGCTCTTACCACCCTCAACAAAACTCTTACCCGTCCCCGTAATGCTCCTCTCCCCACGTTCTCGACCAGCCTGTTGGGAGGGAGACACACGAGGGGAGGTGGAAAGTGAGGGTGGATCGGGATGGGGATGGGGAGGATTGGGATGCGTTGATATGGGTATGGGAATGGGAACGGGGAATGGTATTGGCATGGGGATGAGTATGGGCGGGCGTGAACCTCTCCTCGCACTTGTCACCTCACTTGCTTCTCGCACACAGCACGCAGAGGAAAAGAGGCAGCAGGGAACTTATTACCAGCACCAGAGAGTAATTTGTGACTCACGAGAGGAGAAGGGCGAGAGGTGCCATGTCTCCCCTTGTCTCCTGCCCACCCCGTTGGTGAATCGCTCCCCCCACTTGTCGCTCGCCCCACTTGCTTGTTGATTACAGCAAGAGAGGAAGAGGGGACTTGCCGGCAGCAAAGAGCAGGAGAGCAAGAGAGGGGACTCACGGGAGGAAGAGGGAGACAGGTGCCATGTCTCTCCTTGTCTCCTGCCCACCCCGTTGGTAAATCGCTCCTCCCACTTGTCGCCCCACTTGCTGCCGTCATCGTCCTGCTCTGCCCACTTGTCCGTCCTGCCGTGCAAGCCAAGCCATGCCATGCCATGCCAAGCCATGTTCAGATAGGAAGGTTTAACCACTTGCACCTCACAACCCACTTGCTGCCGTCATCATCCTGCTCCGACCAGTTGTCCGTCCTGCCATATTGCCATGCCATGTTCAGGTATTTAGTTAGGAAGGTGTAAACATTTGCACCTCACAACACAACCCACTTGCTGCCGTCGTCGTCCTGCTCCGCCCAGTTGTCCGTCCTGCCATGTCAATCCATGCCATGCCACGCCATGATCAGATAGGAAGGTTTAACCATTTGCACCTCACAACCCACTTGCTGCCAGCATCGTCCTGCTCCGCCCACTTGTCCGTCCTGCCATCATGCCTTGCCATGCCATGCCACGCCATTCCATGCTGTGCCATTTCACATAGAAAAGTAAATCAAATGCATCTCTACAAATCAGATGCATTGAATCTCGGTTGGTCCTTCACAACAACAGCAAAAAAACTAAAACCAACTGCAACGAACGTGCGAGCATCTCACCTTTTGCGCACAACAGCCCCCTGCCCACCGTACTGCTCCCACCTCGACTGCCCCTCATGCTGCTGCACTCCCATCCCGGCATCCCTCCAATCCCACGGCATGTGGTACTGAAGAATGAATCCCACCCATGATTTCACCAGCAAAGAGCATCTCACCACTTGAGCACTGCTCCCCGCCCGTCATACTGCTCGCTCCACGCTCCCATCCCAACAGCATGCATACCCATGTACAAAAAGAGCATCTCACCACTTAAGAACAGCCCCTCTCCCGCCATACTGCTCGCCCCACTTCTCCCACCACGACTGCCCCTCGTGCCTTGGTGCCCTCCCACACCAGCATGCATACCCATCTACCCCTCATCTCACCATTTCAGCACAGCCCCTCTCCCGCCATACTGCTCGCCCCACTTCTCCCACCACGACTGCCCCTCGTGCCTCTGCAATGCCATCCCAACATTCGTGCATGCATACCCCATATAGCATACGAGCCACCTACCACTTGAGCACAGCCCCTCTCCCGTCGTACTGCTCGCCCCACTTCTCCCACCACGACTGCCCCTCGTGCCGCCCAAACTTGTACGCCCCCTTCTCCGTCCACCCCCTCTCGTTGTACTTCTCCCACCTGGTAGTGAGGGGGAAGAGAGGACGAGGAATAGAGAATATAGGGTGAGAAGAGAATGACATAACCCTACTCTCTCCATTCTCGGTCCACCCCCTCTCGTTGTACTTCTCCCACATGCAATAAGGTAGAAGAGATGAAGGGGAGCAATGGGGGGGCAGTTGTGGGTGGGGCAACAGAGGAGGGGTGTAGGGTGTACGCCCCCTTCTCCGTCCCCCCTCTCTCGTTGTACTTCTCCCACCTGTGATAGGGGGGGACGGAGGGGGAAGAAACGAAAAGGGCAACGGGGGAGAGGCGATAGAGGAGGGGTTTAGGGTGTATCCCCCCTTCTCCGCCAACCCCCGCCCGTTATACTTCTCCCACCTGCTCTCCCACCTGCTCTCCCACCTGCTCTCCCACCTGCTCTCCCACCTGCTCTCCCACCTGCTCTCCCACCTGCTCTCCCACCTGCTCTCCCACCTGCTCTCCCACCTGCTCTCCCACTTGCTCTCCCACCTGCTCTCCCACCTGCTCTCCCACCTGCTCTCCCACCTGCTCTCCCACCTGCTCTCCCACCTGCTCTCCCACCTGCTCTCCCACCTGCTCTCCCACCTGCTCTCCCACCTGCTCTCCCACCTGCTCTCCCACCTGCTCTCCCACCTGACGGGTCCAGGGAACACTGACCCACATTTCCACCCTCCCTTCTCTCTTCTCCCTCCACCCATGCCTCTTGCATTTCTCCCGCTGAAGGTTGAAAGAAGAGGAAAATTCAATTGAGAGTTCCCGGGTTGCATTTAGGATCCTCTGTCTCACATCCCCACCCGCCCTTTACCTTCTCTGTCCACCTGCTTTCACTCTCCTCCCACCTAGCGAGGCAATTAAAGAAAGAAATCAGGGACTGTTGACAGGGAGGGGTTTCAGGTTTCGTGTTCAGATGCGATCTTATGAGGCGCCTCAGAAGCTATCTCACATCACATTCCCACTTCCCTTCTCCCTACCCCCTCACATGTGAGCGACAATATTAGGTGCCTAAAAAAGCCCCTCATGATTGAAATCAAGGATTTATAGGGGGATATAAGGGTCAAATTCCACTCTCGCACTTTTCCCGAACAATTTTCCCGCCAAACCCACCATGGTTCTGGGCTCACCATTTCTCAGTCCAGGCATCAGTTCGCGATTTGGCCTGCTTGTGCGCACTGCGCTCTATGCGGGCGATGCCGCTGCAGGAAGAGGGGGAGAGGAGGGGAGATGAGGCGGGAAGCAGGAAACATATGAGAGAGCACATACCCAAGACTTGGCCTGATTGTGCGCACTTGACGTGGGTAGGAATGCCATTGAGACAGTGGTGGACGAACAAAAGGGGAAGAGGGTGAGGAGGGGCTGAAGCAATCAGACAGGCTAGGCCTGCTTGTGTGCACTGCGCTCGTCGCGAGCGATGCCTCTGGAATTGGGTTGGAGTGATGAAAGAAGAAAAGGGCCCAGGAGGAAGGGGTTGGGGAGGGTTGAGTCAGGTACGGCGGGGAGGCCAGTGACGGTGCCTGAGTATATCCCAGATTATGTTGGAGTCACTGTTGAACATCCCATCACTTTTGACGCGGTTCCCTTTTGGCTCACTTTTGGTTCAACAGTGACTCCAACATAATCCCAGTCTCAAAAGTGAGCCAAAAGGGAAAGTCCCAGACTCGGATTTTGACTCCTTGTGTGCACTGCGATTGAGACTTTCCCTTTTTGAAACTATCAGTCCTCACCACCACCTCCTTCCACGTCTCTCATTTCCTCTAATCCCTGACCTGAAACTACCTCAATCTCTCGTTTCCTCCCTCGAACCCTCATTCACTCCCTCATACTCATTCACCTTGCCCCCCTCGCCTCCTCTCAACCCTCCTTCAGACCTCCTGCCATTTCTCCCAACTATCTCTAATCCCTGGCTCTCAATCATGTTTCCTTCATTTCCCCACCCCACATTCCCTCTCTCCTCCTCACCTCCACTCATCCCTCCTCAACACCTCCTGCTACGTCTCCCACGCCCACCAGCTCAAGGACCTGGCATCTCCTCACACTCTCACTCACTCCCTCCCTCACTCCCTCAATCATTCTCTGCTTCACTCCCTCCCTCACGGCTTCACTCACCTCCACTCGTCTCGCCTCAGCACCTCCTGCCACGTCTCCCACCAGCTCGCGTCCAACGCTCTCCCTCACTATCTCATTCCCTCACTCACTCCCTCACTCACCTCCATTCATCCCGCCTCAGCACCTCCTGCCATGTCTCCCACCAGCTCGAGCCCCTGACACACTAACCTTCCCTCCCTTTCTCCCCCCCATTTCCTCTCCGCACTCACCTCCACTCGTCCCGCCTCAACACCTCCTGCCATGTCTCCCACCAGCTCGCGCCCAAAGCGTTCCGCCCACTCTTCTCCGCGCCTGAAGGGGAGGGTGGGCGAAGCAGACGAGGAGGAGAAGGGGGAGGGAAGATGTAGGCAAAGGCGAGGGACGGGGAGGAAAGGGGGAAAATTTTTGAGACGTCTCAAACCAGTCTTCTTTCACGTGGGATTTGGTACTTTTACCACGAATGCAAATGCTTCTGAAAATCCTGGTGTCGTGTAATGCCTCCTCTCTCTCACCTCCTCTCTCTCTCGCCCCCCTCTCTCTTGCCTCTTCTCTCACACCTTGTCTCTCTTGCCTTTCGCTGCGTTCACACGGACTTGATGTGATGGATATTCATACCTAGTTCCTTGTATCCGGTCCAATCACTCTTCTCCCACCACTGCCATGATGCCATGCCATGCCACGCCATGCCATGCCATGCCATGCCATGCCATGCCATGCGATGTGATGCCATGCCTTGCCAACACCACACAACATCGCATCA